TGCGCGTTCACATTTGACCATAACAAGATATAATTTTAATATTGCTGCATGGATAGATCATGTTTCAGTGTTACTGGGTTGTATTTCTGTGTTTCAACCACAGTATGTTACTATTAGACATTATACTGTGATTTTTGGTCTATATTATAATATTTCTTATGCTTCCACTGCAGTTAATTTATTGAATTATTGAATACATTTTTGCTGAGAGACATGCTAGAGGATGATCAGCGTTCACTGACACACATCTAACTATGCAGGCAGACTGGCACTTCACATGCTCATTTACAGCAGCAGTCTGGAGATTGCTGGCACACACACTTTATGATGTTTGTATGATGTCTAACATCAAAGAGAATACCTGATGCAGCAGTTTGGCTCTTGCAGAGAGCTAAAGCTTCAGCAGCTCAGAGAGAGGTTGGGATGTCTCAGCGCGTATGCAGAAATACTCCCAGGAAGGGATATGTCTTTATTTTGTGATTTCATCCCATGATGAACCTTCTGCACTGATGAAACATGAAAACATTGAAAGAAGTCATTTATATAAATGCCTCAAAGTCAAGCCATGTAATCAATAAAATGCTCATGGGGACACATTCCACTTAGTGTCTGGAGTTTGATTTAGGCTTTTTGACAACTGTCCAGTCATATTTGATTGGTTTGCTCAATGGGATGTGGAATAAAATAAGTGTCACACATACTGTAATAGTAGTAACACTGGTATTTGGCTAGTTTATTGTGAATCAGGATAACTTCGCTTCACCCTACATGCATCTTCTGAAGACCAAAATAGTGTTACACAAGGGCACATTCATGCACACAAGCACAACCAACACACACCCACAAGCCTAAACCATTTGTATTTTTATACATCTTCTTATTTACAGAAGACACATTCAACCAACTATTCATAATTTGTTCCAGGTTGGAGTCATGTAACAAAAGCTTGGAAAAGTCTAACCCAGCGGCCTGAAAACCTGACTGAACAACTGTACCAGGGCAATTTCTGAAACCCAAATTTAAATTTAATGCACATTTTAGAAAACGTTTGTTTCATCACCTAAACACCTTTCCTTCTTCCTTCTGTCAGCACGAGGTAGAAGACTGTGATCCAGTCGGGATGGTGACTACGACCACCCCTCTGAGCCAGCAGTGAATCATCCAATTAAGATAATCACAAAGCACGGCACCTATCTCTGTTTGTGCCTGATGTTTCCTCTAAACAACATAATGCTCTCACAGGATTAGAGGCCTCAGTATAGGGCATGATTGATCTTTCTTTCATTTTGACGGTTATGGTGGAAAAGACTTGGGGCTTTGCTACGTCAAGTCTTTGTGAACACACCCACACGCCTACACACACAAAGAGCCATTTACTGTCCCTTGCATCTAATGAGATTATACATTTACTCTGTGGATTGTTTTTACTTGTTCCATGATACTGACTGCTGGGACACTTGGTACAAACACAGCATCTTACATAATGATCTTGTTTTCGATAGTGTGGGTGCTGCTTGCTGTTCTGACTGTAGCTGACTGGGCAGGCTGGTCCAGGCTGGACTGCTGCACTAGGATGAGCTCATCCTTAGATAGACGCATTAATTGAACTTATAGTAACTGGTTGCCCTTTGCTGCCACCTACAGACACACATGAGGGAGTTACAAAATAAAAAAAAAAAAAAAAAAAAAAATCATCACTAGCTGTCCTGTGCAACACAAACTATCTAATCAAAACAATGAAAATATGATTGAATATGATAAAGTACACAAGGTTCTTCAGATGCAAAAATGATCAATTTAATCCATGTGCAAAACCTGACATGACAAAATGTGTCCAAAGAGTAAACTTTCACATTTTGCCACCTTTGCGTACACAAGGTTCTTCAGATGCAAAAATAATCAATTTAATCCATGTGTAAAACCTGACATGACAAAATGGGTCCAAAAAGTAAACTTTTGACTCTTTTCACATTTTCCCACCTTTGTACATAAACTCATTATTTCTGCATCTGAGGGGCATATTCTACTTCTTTGTCTCTTTCTTTTGTGCATTGTTTAAGATCTTAGTTAATTTTGGCTACACACCTGCACGACACTTGATTGATTCACATTTTTTTGCCTCAACAATTACACATATTAATGTGAAATGTTTTTACTGCAGTTTGCAGTTGTGTATGTCACTGACTTAAACAATACAAGACCACTGACAGTGGCAAAGTACAATGTCAGAAACAGCAGCTGTAGTCAATCCATTCTGATAAAGTCCAAGTCAGAATCAAGACCAGTTCTCCTTGGTTAAAAATTCAGACCTGGAACAGACCAATGGCAGTCTGACAATGACCGACCACAACATAAGGAAGGCTTAATTTTTCCTTGAATGTAAAATTTTGAGCTCATTCATTAACTGCACACTTTAATATCATGTAGAATCTTTTAAATTTATACCAGGATTTATACAGTTGAGGTTTAATCCATCACTGCACACTGCTAGGAAATACCTGATCCTTTTTCACATTCACCACTAGAGGGCAGTAGCCAACTACTGCAAAGGACACTTGGCCCCCTTTCTGTCTCTGAAATAAGTACCTGCTATGGTTGGAGAGTTTTCTATACTAATAAATAGTCCACGAGGAGGAGAGAGAACACCTCACAAAACAGGACCCAACAGGCATACATGCACAAGATGAAGAGAAGTCATATCCAAAGCAAAGCAGGTAACCGGTTTACACTAGAGTAAAGTGCTGCTTATTCATTAAACACTTGCTTTAATTGCCCAGAATATAGGTTACTTGATCTTTTTTATTTCTGCTAAATAGGAACTTTTTTAATGCAGTGTTGGTAGTTAGTGAGGTACCGCGTTGTCTGGAGCCATATAATTATCCTGACAGTCAGAACTGGTTGTTACGTGTTCATGTCTTTCTTGCTGTGACTGCAGTCTCCTTCAGTCCAGTATGACTCCGTTTGCATCTCCATCAGTCTGGAGACAGTCCTCCGGAAGGCAAGAGTCTCCTCCTCGGCTGTGAACAGGGCCAAACGTTGTGCTGCCTCCTGAAGAGAGGTGCCAAATAGCAGCAGAGTTAGTAGGTGATATACACAAGTCCAATTTGGGTTAGAGAAACAGGCTTATGAGCAGAAGATTTATATACAGCATCTGTGGGTAACTACATGTATGTGAGTGTGAACACGGCTTTCCTGCTCTCAAATGTAAAATAGAAGATTAATAAAAATACTTCAAAAGCACTTAATAAAAAAATAACAGAAATGAAGAAAACATCTCAGGGATGACAGATTTTCACAAGGTTTCAGGATTTTGAGAACGTCCTGTACATTGTAATATTCTATGGCAGCACATGTGATCTTACTCCGCTGAGGCCCAGGTCATCCAGCAGCTGTCGGTCCCTCTCATCTTCCCCTCCAGAGTGGACAAACAGCTGGTTTAAAGGAGCTGCCGCCAGTAGCACCACTCTCACCTGGGATAAGGAGGGGAGAAGAGAAAGATGAGGAATCCCAGTTTGTTTATGGAGGTTACTTATTACATTATGAAAGATTATGTGGCTGTTTGCTGTGATCAATATTAATGATAGGCGTTAACTGATTAATCATTGGCTCTATAAAATGACAGTACTTCTATTTCTAAGCAGTTTGAAGTGTTTTATTACATTTTGCAGAATCAGATTTCCTTATCTGCATAACAAAAAACTGATTGATAAAATCTGCAGTGCATAGAAAGTAAAGGTAAAGTACTTTAGTAATATTTTTACAGAACACCGTGCATGAGCATTCATCCATCTAACATCCATCATCTCAGAGGGTGGGGTCCCTGCTAGTGAACATACTGTATGTGTGGCTATGTACAGTAATGTATTGCTATTTGAGGTATGTAATATTTCCAAGTAGTGATAAGTAAACAGAGGAAACTATCTTTCAAATGAACAGTATTGGGTGACACGATGTAAGGCATTTTGTCTATTTTCAGTAACAGGCTCATCTCTGGTTTGTCAGCAGGATACCTTGTTGTCATAGAAGTTGTCTATGAGGGTGGTGAAACGTCTGGCCTGGTCCCTCAGAGACCGTGTCAACACGGGAACATGGCGGATGAATACGGTGTCAAAAAGCCGTGACATCTCCAAGTAGTCACTGGCACCCAGGGGCTGGAAAACATCTAAGCAGATTATATACTATACCAGATCTACAGGAGCATATCACAGCAGAGAGTAGTGCACAGCTGCGTCATAAACACACACAGACGCGTTGCTGTAAATACTGCACTGTATGTTACAAAAACGCCAACTGTACCACAAAGGCCCAGACTGATTGTCATATTGGTGCCTGTCCTTGGTTCTTTGCCTTTCAGAATGCTCTTAAAGCTAATGTGGTCGTGCCAACATATGTCAGAAGAAGCCTTGAAGCTCAGATGCAGCCTGCAAAACCTCACTGCTGTCTATCAGACTTGAGACTACGCACACACAGTGTGCATATTACTATACCACACTGATGTATTTGAGGCTCAACTATTCACAGAGATGTCAATAGACTTGCTTTTTGACATTGAGCAGAAAATAGGACAGAGGTGGAGGGAAGGTGATTCACTTTGAGAGCAAAGGTTTGGATAATAAGTACACAGAGGAGGGTAGGAACAGAATGCAGGGGCAATAAAGAGGCAGGAGAGGTGCTTTGAATTTGAACAGTTTTGATTAGTGGTGAGTGGATTTTGTGTGTGAGTGTACTGTATGTGCGTGTGTGAGTCAAAAAGAGGATGAGGGTGTCCTGGTGCTCAGGTGGTCCATGAAGCATACTGGGGCGTGACTGGGGTGCCTGTGGCTTGAGTTGAGCCAGAGGTGTCATGTCTCTCTGTACTATCAAGCTGTCTAATAAAGGGAAAATGCCCCCCAAAAAATCTTTAAAAATAAAGGGAGAATTTCATGTTTTTGGAAGAAAGAGCCCCAAACAGAACTAAGCATGAAAATACGGTGATTATCTACAGCATTAATTATTATAATTAGAAATATTTGTTATGGTGCATGTGTTGAATTGGATGGCTTAACATCTCAGAATGCTGGCAACGAAGCAAATCAAGATCTGTAGAGAAAATAATTTTACAGTAACTAGAGTAAAACACTTACTCTGCCACACAGGTCATCAAAAGTACAGTCGGCGATGGAACCACAGGTTTTTCCCAGCATCACGTCTCTGCCCAGCACTGTGAGCACTCGAGGACCTACAACTAAGGAAACATGCACACCCAAGAATATAAGTGCTTATATGGATCCAGTCATATTAAATTACATTAAAACACATTAAAATAAGGGTGTGAAAGAAGCAAGGTTCATCTTAGAGCAAGGAAGCCATATCCTCACTCCTTTATCCCTCTACTGTTAACTTACAAAGCAGTCAACAATGAATTGATCCCACTACCAAGTATAGCAAAAGCCTAATGTAGCTTCTTCCTCTGTTCTGCAGACTTTCAGCATTGTACAAAAACTATTACAAACATATTTGCAGCTGGAAACTGTCCCCAGCAAAAGCATTACTCACACCTGTCTGATTAGTGTTTACTAAAAACTATATGTAGCTGTTTTTCCCAAATAGAATATATTCATGATACATTTTAAAGGGTTTTAGGAACCAGTGGACTTAGACCTGACTGCCATAGATAGAGTATAGGGAAGTCAAAAAGTATCAGAAGACTGGTTGATTTTGGTCTTTTCATGAGATTGGTTGATAATGTAAGAGAGCACAAACAGAGACATCAAAAAGTCGACAAGTCTCCCTAAAACTTATTCTTTTCTTTTAACTTACTTACCGCTCTTTTGTCTTAATGCCAGCTCCTCAAACAGAGCATCCATGAGGGCGTCTGCACCAGGCTCCTCTGTGCTGCACAAGACACACACACGCACGCACAACTAAGCAGGGAAGAAATAATAGGATATGAAATTAATAATGCTGAAGTGGCTACATCAAACAGTGGCAGAGAGGAGAGCAGAGGAGGGGGGTACTTAGCTTTTTACTCCATCAGTAAAAAACAGGATGCAAGGCTCTAAACACAAGTATTAGCCTGTGAATATGCGTCAAAATGATACTGTAACAGTGTGTGTTTGTGTCTGTATGCACGCTTGTGTTTTAAGTCCCGGTAAAAAGGCTGCCTTAGCTCTATTTACATACAGTGAAAAGACTAAAAGTGCTTGGAAGCTCCAATACAGCCATGAGCACCAGCAGTGTCATTCATGCTGCATTTGTCTATGTGTATGTGTGTTCTTAACAGTGGATATGTAATGAGGAAAATAGAAAACTGGCTTTTTCAGCTCTACCATTTTCTCATATTCTATTGATTCCTCTTTCATTCTTTTCATGGATCTCTCAAGGTAATGTAGCTCTTTACAACTCTCCTGCTCTGCTCCTCCTCATTTATCCATCTGTTTGCCTTCTCTAACTAGATGATGTGCACAAACATTTTTCGTGTGTGTGTGTGTGTGTGTGTGTGTGTGTGCGTGGTTGTGAACATATTGTGGATGCGGGTTAACGTCGACTCAGAACTAAGTAGAGCTGGACCGCAATTAGAAGAGTAAATGTGTGTGTCTTACAGGTAGCAGAGTCTTCCTGCTGCAGCCACGTCCAGCCTTCTGTAGTCAATATCAGTGTCGAGGCAGACGGTGTGGCAGTGCTCCTGTACACGTGCACACAAACACAGCTTGTAATATCTGTCAAATATTTAAATTTGTTTGATGATCTGAAACATTACAGTGTGACAAACATGCAAAAAGATAAGAAATCAGTAAGGGGGCAAATACTTTTTCACACCACTGTATAAGTTTAAGAGCAATAATTAGGTTCATTTCGCTCCGTCTTTCTAATGTGGTTGAAAATCACGTGTGAAGTTTTAACTGTGAATTTTTCTAATTTAATTTGCAGCTAAAACATTGAATTGATTGATCAACAGAAATTGTCCATGTCACAGTTTCATCCATCTTACATCACTTCCATCATCACTGGTTTATTGTTCATTTTAGCTACTGTGTATCTTATGCACGTTTGCTCCCATGCACACTTCTTAGATGCTAAAGTGTATTTTGTTGAATCGACAGCGTTTGCGATAACAAAATCTAATCTAATCTAATTTTCTAGGCATTTTTCAGATTCTCAAGCCCAAAGAATCTGTCAGATTTGATGCCATCTTTCATTGTTTTTCCATGAAAGCTGTGATCTGATATTCTCGAGTTTCTAGATGGTATTTTATTTCAATTTTTTTACTGTATGTTTATTATATTTGCCAACATTTAACAATTCATCAGTCATATGAAACGTGGACGACCAGTGTTGTGCCACTGCTTCAGTCTCAGTGTAAATATTAAAATGGACAAAGAGCAAACACAGAAGGCAGTTGACGTCTTATGCTTCTCTAACAGCTCTGGCTGGGGTTTTGTGTCACTTCTTCATGGTTTATTGAGCTTGTCTATTGTTTCTGCAGCTATTCAAGTGTGTTGCAGCAGGGGTGAACTTGTGATGTAGAGTTCAAACTTTTCCAGATAGTGTAAAACGTCAACAGGTTTCATGTCAGGGAGTACAGCACAAACTATAATCATCATCTTCACCATTCTATCAAAGAAAAGAAAGGAATTGCATATCATCCCATCCAAGCCATCGCCTGGCTGACTGAGTATTCAGCGACAGCTCCAGTAAATTATGAAATCAGTGAATTTCTGCCACTGGCCTCCTTAAGCTGCAGGATAATTAGTAATCATCACAAAGCAAGGGGACGGAAATACTCTATTATTCTCTGCTGTCAACTTTTTATCTCCGTGTCCGCTCACACAAACGGGGTTCCAACTCTGAGCCAATTGGCTGAATCAGGCTTAATAACAACCTGACAAACTCACCCTCCCCCACGCACAAAAGGGAGGTGTCATTTCATCAACCTACTGTGACCCCACCAACGGGTAAATAGTCCCTCCAACAAGGAAAAAAAAAAAACAAGAGGAAAAAAAAAACTTGTCACTATCGCCACCACATCATTAGAATCTGAGTTTGTCTTTTCTCCTGCCATCTTCTACTCACTCCCTTTATGAACTGTCTCTACCTGATAAAGACAGCTGATGCGTTTCTTGATGGAGGAGCGAGGTACAAATAAAGAGAGGGTAAAAAAGGAGGAATGGAAACACAATCAGTGATGATGATTCCATTGGTTATTTATAATCAGATGAGGCTGAGGTCTTGCGGGTCATTACTTGATTATCCATCTTGAGGGGATTGTCAAGTTCTCACTCCTCCAAGATTTTATCCGCCTACACATTGTGGTCTTGTCTCCCCCCACCACCATCGCACTCCTCTCACAGACTCCACTCCTAGTCAGTCTACTTTGCAACTTATAGTCCTATCTCTCTGTGCCTTTACCTTATTCTGGGTAACAAGCTGCAGAACAACAATCCCACAAGACTCATGCATTTTAGCGCAGCATAAACATCTGCTGAATACATTATTGTTTTATCCAGTATTTATTACATTTTAGAGCAAAATAATAATTGATTAATCAAGAAATTATTTGTCAGATTGATCAATAATGAATATAATAATTAGTTGCAATCCACCAATAAGTGAATCAAAGATGATTTTGGGGGTCTCCTGTTGCATAAATTATTAAAATTAGTGCACAAGGTGTTTCTATTAATATCACAAAGATCAAACTTCCAATTCAGATATCTTTAAAGCTAGTGTTGGCAATTCAGTTCAGAAACATTTTTGATATGTTTCTTGAAATTCTCTTTTCATCCTGATGGCAATGAATAAACTAACAACTGACACTAACGGCACAAAAAAAAAAGTGTCATTTGTGGCAGGAGCAGCCCTGAAAAAAGCCTGACCAGTAATTTTAATTGGTCTGAGCAAAACCATTGGATGACCTACCTGCCTGTCAACCTGCTTACTACTCGCATGCACTCTGCCCTTGCACTCATTGCACAAGCCAAGATTCTCCCACAAGGCCAGGCAGGCAGACATCAGGCCGTCAATGAGCATCTGTTGGGGCTCGCCTTCTTGGTGTGTCTCGCACCGTTGGCACTAGTCAGACAGTGTTTCTGCCCTAAAACTAGCAAGCCATGGCAGAGAAGGTACTCACAGCAGCTTTCGGCCGCAAACGATGACCATATTCAAGAAAGCTACGACTAAAAAGAAGTTGGATGCTGGTTAACACTGGTGTGGCTTCTTAACAATGGTGACAATTGAGACAAGGGGCTGATAAGTGGTGCCATGGTGGCTGTATTTCTGCTGGACAGGTAATTATTGCTTTTGTTTTGTTTGGTGGGGGCATGTGTTACTTTCCTGAAATCTGTAAGTAGGAGAGAAGTCAGAATGAAAGGGTTAGATTTCTTTGGTTGTCTACTTTCAAAATCTCTGTCCATCCTTCATACTTGTGTTAATTTCTGTTTGTTTTGTCTATATTATTATTAAGAAGTCAAACAAAGTTTGAGTATCAGCTTGACTTTGTGACTTAACCTGTGTAGCCACAGCTACTGTTCATTGACAGAAGTTTCAAGAGTAGTGTTGTAAATTGTGTCTGGGCCTTGGGAAAAGTTCCTGCAGTGGCAACGTTGCTTTAGTCTCCAGGAAACTTAAACTGATGACGAAATATATTGTTTGTTGTAGCCTCAAGTTTACTTAAGTTATGCTAATGGTGTGAAAACTAATCCTAAGTGTAGGTGACTCATAGAGATACAGTATGGAAGCAGCGCCACTGCAAATTAAGAGTTTCACTACTTGTACGGACACATTCACTGACTCACATTCACAAAAGGGGAGGGAGAGACAGGAGAACAAGATGACAGACATGAGAATCAGGGTCTCTTTAGAAGAAAGTCATCCAAACACATGTAGCTCCAATCACGTCATTGTCCGAGCTGTGTGCTGATCTCTCTGGACAGCCGTTTAGCATAAAAACAGAGTAGCTGCCTCTGCTCCCCTTAGCACTCACTCCCTCTACAACATATCTTTCTCCATCCTTTACTCCTCAAAAAGTTGCTTTTGAGTTTTTCAAAGAGCGCGGTGCCATTGAGCTGGAACAAAAGCCAAGGATAGCTGACTATTGGGCTCTGATGAGGTCCACTCCCTCATTACGCAGCAGCAGAAAACATTTGATGCTTTTTTTGTTTGGCCCGGAGAATTGACCAGGCCTCAAAGAAATGCAGGGTGGGAAGGCTGAAAAAGAGATGAAGGGGGGAGAGAGGCAGAGGCAGAGGGAGAGGGAGAGGGGAGGAGGGGAAAGGTTGTCGTTCATTCAACCATGTGTCTTACAGCCTTGTGTGGAGGGACAGAAGAAAAGAGGGAGGGAGGGATAGAGGGGTCGAGAGAGAGACGGGGTACAAAAGAGAGAAAGCTTAAAACAGTGCCTTTATGCTGGCAAGTTCTGGACAACTCTTCTGACATCAAAGTGTTTTCATTAACTGGGGAGCTGCTGTGTGTGTGTGTGTGTGTGTGTGTGTGTGTGTGTGTGTGTGTGTGTGTGAGTGAGAGAGAGTGAGCGGGGGGTGTATCT